AGAGAGAATGGAACGAATGGTATATGTGCTGGGGTCCACACAACTCGTGAAAAAAACCCTACAATGAATACCAGGGAGGAGTGCCCAGAGGTTATACGTGACCGTTTTCCGTATGTTCGCATCAATTTCTGATATGGGGTGGTGCAGTCATCAACCATATGCGACTATTATCAGCTGTTCTAATCATCCTCATTGGAAGTCAAAATCAAGAAAAAAGCGGTGAGTTTTTGGAGAAGCTGTTGACCATGTAGTTGTCATAGGGTTTTTTGTCCTTTTGTAAGTACTATTGAAGCGGTTGGCCTAGTAAATTGCATATCGGTTTACCCTTATATCGGCTCTGAAGAGGCTATACTGCCGAAACGTTAGCTACTATTGTATTGTATTGTGGTTTTCTATGGAAGTAAATGTATACTGTATAACAACGTCGCGATTGCTGAACAAGAAAACGACGCATTCATGTTCCAATGTCGAGGTTAATAGAAAGTCGATCCTGGGAACTGTTCTACCTAGTCTTTATCCGAATGTGTGGCCAAGAGATTGTTGAGGGCTTATCGTTTCCGGATGGTTAGCAGTGCTTAGTAATTTGTTTTTCGCTATATTCAAAATCTATCATACATTATTGTTTCGTATTCGTTAGCAAACACCATCAAGAATTACGTAACTAATTGACCTATGAATGCTTTTTTTAGCTCCTGTGCTTGCCCAAGTACTGTATCATCGTTTGGAAAACCAACACAAAGCTGGATATTAGAATAACAGACGAGCATTTCAATGATGTTTCTCTCTATTGAGCAACCTCCGGAAAGGAATATAGAGAACAAAATATGGAGTGGGTCAGTACGGCAAAGGCAGCGGGTTTAGAGCCTTCAGTTATTCTTCGGTTTAAGAACGACCACCCAACATTTCCTGTGATATGCTTTCTTATTAAGACAGATAAGCTTAGTTCTACTGGTGATCTTGCGTCCACCGATCCATTATCATTTAAAGTGAGACTAATTATTAATTGTATAGGTGTGAAAACGGATAGAATAGCCTGGTTCCTAAACCTTACCTTGACCCAGCTGCTGAAATTTAATCCGACCCATTCACTTAACCCCAAAATGTTTTTAGATCACCTACGGTGCTCGCAACCAAACAGCATGCATGCAGTGGAGTCACTCGATGTTCCTTTCTTTTATATAAACGTATCGAATGACTCCGCAATGCAAGCCATTTTCGAACTGCTTGTAGAGCACGAAAAAAATGTACGGCTTGTCGATTGCGCAACTAATGACTCTCTTAAAACAGCGTCTTAGCTGTTCAGTCTTTAGGTGGTCTGGAAAATATTTTGCACAAATTAGAGGGTTGGCCATGGGACAGCGATAAGCACCAAGCCTTTCCATCACTTTCTTGCCTAAGGCGGAAGCTCCCGTTTTCGATCGCCGACCCTTGCTTGACTATCGTTACATAGGCGACTTCTTCATCATCTATTCCACACAAGAACAGATGGCTGAATGCTCTGAATTGTTAAGTAGATAGTCAGATTATAGAAAATTCACCCGCGAAATCGATCCAACCGAGGATTGGCTTCCATTCTTAAATATCCAAATAAACTCTCAGAAAGCGGTTATATAACGAAATGGTATCGCAAGCCAAGTAGTGAAAATGTAATAGTGCACTACCTCACCGGTTATCCTACACACATAAAAAAAGCTTTCATCAAAAACATGTACCGAACGGCTAAAAATATGCGCAGAGAAAAAAGAGAGGAATCGCTAAATTTGGCACAAAGATTAGCCATTTCCAATGAGTACGAAGCAGAAGCCACTCTGTAGTCAGACAAAAAAAGTAGGGTTGTTCCCGAAATAATGTTTCGAACCTAAGCAAGATCCCTTTCAAGTTACCCTTCATATCAAACGAAATAAGTTTCGCCATTAAGAAGTACCTAAGAAAAAGTGGTCTTAAAAATTATGTAACGATTATTGACATCCCACCCAATACCCTACTCCGTCAGTTAGTTCGCAACCGTCTTTATGATCGTTTGTGCAGCTCAGAAAACTGTATGATCCATCCCAACGGGAGAGACGGGGATTGCATTAGTTTAGGTATAATAAAATTGATCTCATGTAACGCATGCGGCGAGGAATATATTGGGGAAACGGGGTAGACCACTTTGTGTTCGCATAAAAGAACACCTAGATGAGAAAGGTAAAATCCATCTAAACACTCCCCTAGGTACGCATAGGGCACAAAAGCACAACGGCGATGATTTTAAAGCAAATGTGCGGATCGTGGCGCAAGAATAGAAAAAATCAACTCCTCACTATCACACGTGATCTGGCACCTGATTTCAAGATGATATTTTGACCCCTAGGTGGGTCTCGCTCGCAGCTCCACATGAACAACACGCGTGCAGTTCCACTCATAACATCACGGTGGGTAGCCCTTTTGATCAATATGACGTTTATTTGAAAGTTTGATCTTCATTAGTACTAAAAATATTCCACCGAATATAGGACTACTGACAAACAACAACTACGAACAACAACAAAAAACAACAATAACACACAACAAGAAACAGCAACAAGCAACAACAAACAACAACAGGAACAGGAGCAACAATAACAGGAACAACAACAAGAGTAAGATTCCGTCCACCAGGATTTATCTCGTAAGAGGCAAGTTATTCAAGTTGCTCAATGCTGGTGAGTACGTCCATAGATTGTTCGTATGTGCTGACGAAAACCAATCGAGAATTGGAAATTTAGCAAATTCAGCTGTGACCAAATTGATAGAGAACTTACAGGATACTGGAAGGATGTCCTTAACCAAAAAATTGCTCCAAGGCAGAACTCACCTCACTGAAATTTGCACGAACAACAGAAAAAGTCTTCTAAAAAAAGTTATAAACGATAAGCTTCAAAAGGAGGAATGGTCCGCACTCCAGAATCGCAGCAGAGTGATGGTGTTGAAGTGTAGGGATGAAACAGCGATCGTCATACTGTCGAGAGACGTCCAGAGAGATTCTCAAGCCCGCTTTCAAAGCCCGCTGTGGTGGAATGCTACAACCGCGGAAAGCATTACGTGGATAACAGTGACCAAATGGGTACCTGCTGCGTATTTCTGAGAAGAACGATAAAATACTACGCATGTTCTCGTTTTTGTCTGGTTTATACACAACTTCCTTCATCGGTTTAGGTACAAACGATTGCTTCTCAGCTTGCTTACGCAGACATATCTGGAACAATACTTGGAACCTGTATTAGGAGTGCGTGAAGGAGATACCAGTCAAGAAATTCCGGGAAGAATTTGCATTGCCGTACGTTCCATATGGCAATGTTTCTATGCTCTTTTTTAATAGCTGCCATAAAGCAGAATACTTTATCCTACTGGACTCTCCAGAACATCTATGAACTAGTACTCCAGAATGTTATGAGGAAGGTGGAGACGCAGGAGGACAAATGTGACACCTTGCTGTCGAGGGAACTAGTAAATGTTTAAATCTTTTCTTCCAACAGTTCTTACAAATCTTTCTTTTCCATAATTTAAATACATGTCACCACGTAGCCACCTAATCTTTTCTTTGTGCACGAGGGATCTACTGCGGCTACGTACACCAAGTCTTGTTCGACAACTCCATGGCACAAGTATTATAAGTATCTCCAATTTTCGATTGGTCATTGTCAGTGCTGGTTGTATGCAAGAAGCGGCTGTGTTTATGTGTAGTTTATGAAATAAATGTTCTTATTACCCTCTGGTTATATCGAACCTCCGCTCAGCCTTCTATCAAGTTCTCGTGAGTAAGATAATGGATACAGCAGCTAAACCATCCAATAGATCCAGCGGTTTTCGGAAGGGAAACCGATTCGGAGGAGTCGGCTAGTATTTGTGATGGTCACCTGGGAACGCTATAGAAGTTATCTCGTGACTCGAGGGAACATCGATAGGAAATTATTTCAATATGTCAGCAAGAATACAACGCCCCATGTGCTTAAAATCAACTTTCTGCAGCAAACGAACCATACCGGTGGTTACGAGATAATTAAGCAAATGAACAAAGCTCCAAAAATCCTCCCCCAGGATGGGTCACTACGACAACCTAACGAGTATCTCAGTACTACCTATTCATTTGACAGAAAAAGTGGACGATTGGTCTAAGCAGTGCTTACATTAACTCAAGGAACACCTGGTTTTGATAGGAAATCATGAGCTTTCTTCCCATGGCAACTATACCAACGGCATAATCTTTAATTCGAACTCGCTCAGCCCAACCAAACCCTCCGATCCACGTGAAAGAATAACTTAATAAATTGTAAAAGTTTTAAATTGAAACATAAGTGCTTTTCAGCACCATTTTCAAAAACGACGGGGAAATATTATGAAAGCAAGTAGTGTGAATTGTTTCCAAACATGCAACACGACAAATCATATTGACGATCAACTATTTTGCTGATGCGCCACACTTCCCAGACCCTATTTGTAAATTTGTTGGCTGCAACTATATTACTAAATATTACTAAATAAAAGTATAAATTCCCCTCGATGGCTTATTTCTTCATATACAGTACCTTTCGAAGTGTCATATTTCAGGATGTGCCGTCGTGAAGTGGATAAGGCGTTTTTTGTAAACTGCTTTATTAAGTAAAGAGCACGTCATTTTTGCCCTCACCCCCCTATTTCGAAACCTTTTCAAATAGCTATCGAATACACACACATACCGTGGTGAGTAAAAAATCTCGGAATCGATTAAATCAAATTTAGAAACAGGTAGTAGGTATCAATGCCGTTTTCTCGCCCAAGCGGCTAACGATAAAAGCGGAATTGTCCGGTGACGTATCGTCGTCTATAACGAATAAGTCTCCATCGTTTGCGCAGAAAGGCCAACGACACACGGTAGTCCACCCTAAACGGTAAAATTATATTTTGCATTGTTCACGATCTACAATTTCATTACTGGAAACGCCATTTGAGAAGTGCTAAGTCTGGACTGCAATGGCATCACAATTTTAGGAAAAGAAACTTCACTTTTCGAAGCCAATGTCATCCCAATAGCAATTAGATTCCGGAAACATTGCAGCCGGATCAAAAGAGGCAGAACGAAACTCGGCATAACAGAGTTCAGGCATCATAGTCAGCAATTTCTGCATTTTTTCAACAACATTGGTCGCAGATGCCCCTTGAATATCATGCCAAAACATTTCCTCTACCTAGAATTCGATAAGTTTGGTTGATAAACTACACAGGCTTAGCCAAAGCTTCTCACTCTCGATAGATCTAACTTATACAGCATATCCATGAGATCGTCTGTGATCACCATACCTTCGATGGTGAGAAACGTGCAGATTTGTCCAGGACTGGAAGAAAGTAACACTTGATATTTTCAAAAACCATTGAAACCAATAGCAAGAAACTAAGACAACACGCCACTTATGAAGTCTTGAGAATGTTACGACTACATACACTCTCACATTGATTGCGGAAAAGCACATAATTTCGTTAGCATGCAAAAGTTTTATCGCGGTGAAAAATTGAAATTTTCCTAAACTTTCTTTTCAAAAATTTTTTAGGATATTAACACTTTGTAATAGTTCCCAGGATCGACTTTCTCTTAACCTCGGCATTGGAATATGAATATGTCGTTTTCTTGCTCAGCAATCGCGAGGTTTTTAAATAGCATACATTTACTTCCATAGAAAAACAATGCAATACAACACTAGCTGACGTTTCGGCAGTATCGCCTTCTTCTGAGCCTGGAAGGGTATACTGATATACAATCTAGAAGGCCAGACGCTTCAATAACACTTACAAAAAGACGAAAAACTCTTTGGTAATTACATGAACAACAACTTCTCGAAAAAACCCACCGCTTTTTCGTGATTTCCACTGAGGAAGTTTAGAACAGCTGATTATAGTCGCATGTGGTTGAAGACTGCACCATCCCACATCAAAAATCGATGCGAACATACGGGATTAGGTCGCGTATGACCTCCGGGCATTCGTCCCTGCTATTCATTGTAGGGTTTTTGGCATTTATCCAAAAAGCCTCAAGAAGTTATCGCGCTGGTGTTATCGAGAAAGTCGATCCTGGGGAACTATTACAAGATGTACCAGCAAAATACTTTCGACTTGTGAAGGAAGCATTGTCACTAAGACAGAAGATTGTTTTAGCTAGACAGCAAATCAACTTCCTCCGCCGCTGTTTTCAACATCGAGTTGTGCCGAAGTTTATACAACGAAAGCGACTTCACGAGATATGCGGTCAACAAGAGGGCAGCCAACAAGTACGAGGCATCGAGATGGAACTACTTCGAGCTGCACTACGAAGCAAGCAGAACGAGAGTTTGCCAGAATGAAGAAGTGTGCAACGAAGGAACATTTTTGTGCTTTGTATGTGGAGGATCGCCTTTGGAGGAGGGTTGTTGGTGGGTCAATATTGATATGCGATTTTATTAGATCTAATGCCAGAATAATCATACAAGGAAAATTCGAAAATATTTTGGGTAATTCACATGTCTCAGCTTCAAGAAACAACCGCAAACGATATCCTTACGCTTCTGATAATAGTCAAAATGTGGTTGATAATGCACTAAGAAAATCTAGGGTCACCGTGATTGGGGACATAACAATACCTGAGAATGCGCGCTCGCTATTAGAATTGGGCCCAAGTTTTGCACCATCACAGCCCATTTCTAAAACGACCCTGCGTAGGATAGCATGCAACCCTTATGAGCTTCAAGATCGACTCTCCGCTGTCAGGTAAAAGAAGAAACATCAGATAGAGATAAAAATCAAGAGGCGGCGGCACTACCACCATCTCCTTTCCCGAAAACGTTCTTTAGACAGCAGGACCCTAACGATGGAGTTGACACAAAATTCCGCGTGTTTTCGGACGGCGTTCTCAAGACCCTTGATCATTACCGCGATAGAAAGTTCATCTCTAACCTAACAGCCGCACAAAAATGTGGCATGCTGGAAATTAGAGAATTAATAAACTCGAAAACAATAAGATTGTCTGTTAGTGATAAGGGGGGAGAGTTCGTAGTTATCCCTCGCCAGCTGGATGTTGAGATAACAGAGGAACATCTTAGTGATGCCACTCTCTATTGCTCAACCTCTGAAAAGGAATACAAAAGTCAATACCGAAAGATAAACAATCAATGGATCAGTGTGGCAAAGGCTGCGGTTGTTTCGCACTTTAAAATCGATAGACCAACATGTCCCGTCCTATACCTACTTGTTAAAACACATAAGTTGGTATCACCTGATGATCATGCGTCAACCAATCCGTCATCATTTAAGGTTAGACCGATCATCAGCTGTGTAGACGGGCTATCGGATGGAATAACTTGGTTTTTAAGCCTGATACTTACCCAGTTGTTTAACCACATTCCAGCTCACCTCACAAACACCCAAATGTTCCTAGAATGCCTAATAACGCGTGCGTGATGGAGTCTTTCGACGTTACCGCACTGTACACCAACGAGTCAAATGACACCGCAATGCAAGCCATCTTCGAACTTCTTGTTGAACATGAAGGAAGAATAAATATGCATGGCTTGTCCATCCAGCAGCTAATGGCTCTCTTAAAGGANAAAATTCCGCGTGTTTTCGGACGGCGTTCTCAAGACCCTTGATCATTACCGCGATAGAAAGTTCATCTCTAACCTAACAGCCGCACAAAAATGTGGCATGCTGGAAATTAGAGAATTAATAAACTCGAAAACAATAAGATTGTCTGTTAGTGATAAGGGGGGAGAGTTCGTAGTTATCCCTCGCCAGCTGGATGTTGAGATAACAGAGGAACATCTTAGTGATGCCACTCTCTATTGCTCAACCTCTGAAAAGGAATACAAAAGTCAATACCGAAAGATAAACAATCAATGGATCAGTGTGGCAAAGGCTGCGGTTGTTTCGCACTTTAAAATCGATAGACCAACATGTCCCGTCCTATACCTACTTGTTAAAACACATAAGTTGGTATCACCTGATGATCATGCGTCAACCAATCCGTCATCATTTAAGGTTAGACCGATCATCAGCTGTGTAGACGGGCTATCGGATGGAATAACTTGGTTTTTAAGCCTGATACTTACCCAGTTGTTTAACCACATTCCAGCTCACCTCACAAACACCCAAATGTTCCTAGAATGCCTAATAACGCGTGCGTGATGGAGTCTGAGGCTCTGAGGAAGACGAAGACGTCGAAACGTTAGCCGAAAATAAATATATTTATCAACCTCGTCCAAGGTTATCAAGAAAGAATACATATTGATTAGTCACACCGAGGTTTAGGGAAGGTCGATTTCGAAATATTCCTACGCTTTGTGCTAGCTGATAATACACCGACCTCTGCACGATGTGCGCAATGATGTATGTCCGGAAGAAATACAAGTTGTTACCACCGGACATTGTCATTATATATCCACCATCAGCATCGTGTATAAAAGGGCATCACTGAGTGAGGATGCCTCATTCGAGAAGATGGCTCACTGAGGAAGATCTGGCTCGACACGAAGGCGAAGACGCAACGTCGAGACGAACAACAAGCATGGACAATCGGACACGGATCACCGGCTCTGAGGAAGACGAAGACGTCGAAACGTTAGCCGAAAATAAATATATTTATCAACCTCGTGCAAGCTTATCAAGAAAGAATACATATTGATTAATCACACCGAGGTTTAGGGAAGGTCGGTTTCGAAATATTACTACGCTTTGTGCTGGTCTGGGAAATATTTCGCACAAATAAAGGGGTTGGCAATGGCACAGCGATTGGCACCAAGCATTGCCATTGTGTTTATGTCTAAGATAGAAGCCCCTGTTCTCGATCTCTGGCCACTACTCTACTGCAGATATGTAGATGAATATTTTGTCGTCTTCTCTACGCAGGAGGAGATGGACAAATGCTTTGAATTATTGAACGAGCAGTCCGAGTACATAAAGTTCACACAGGAGAAACCGAGAAAAAACTGGCTTCCGTTTTTGGACGTTCAAATAAACCTATCAAGTAGCGGTTACCCGACAAAGTGGCAGCGAAAGCCAAGTAACAAGAACATTCTTGTTCATTTCCTTTCTTCCCATCCTTCACACACAAAGAGGGCGATTATGAGAAACATGTTTCGAACAGCCACCCCTGTGTGCACTACCAGGGAACTAAAGGAAGAATCGCGCGACTTGGCTCGGCAAATAGCCATCTCCAATGGCTACGAAATAGTAACCCCACGAGATAAGTTTACAAGGAGAACGACGCGCCCACGCGAAACGCTTGGCCAAAACAAAATCCCGTTTATGTTGCCTTTTATAAGCGACGAAGTAAGCTCAGCTATAAAACGATGCTTAAGAAGGGCAAGTCTAGAGGAATCGGTAGCGATAGTCGAAATACCACCGGCTACTTTACGTCGTCAATTGGTTCGCAACCGCCTGTATGACCGTCTGTGTGAAACAACAAATTGCGTAATTTGCCCTTACGGCAAGGACGGTGATTGCATGAGTTCAGGTACGATATACCTGATCTCTTGTAATAATTGCGGAGATGAATATATTGGCGAAACGGGCAGACCTTTGTGTATCCGTATAAAAGAACACCTAGATGGCAAACGAAAACTAAGACGGAGCACCCCACTAGGCACGCATAGGATACAAAAGCATAGCGGAGACGATTTTGAAGTAAAAGTCAATATTCTTGCACAGGAGACTAAAACACCAGCGCGAAAACTTCTTGAGGCTTTTCGGATAAATGCCAAAAACCCTACAATGAATAGCAGAGATGAATGCCCAGAAGTCATGCGCGACCTGATCCCGTATGTTCGCATCGATTTTTGATGTGGGATGTTGCAGTCGTCAACCACATGCGACTATAATCAGCTGTTCTAAACTTCCTCATTGGAAGTCACGAAAAAGCGGTGGGTTTTTCGAGAAGTTGTTGATCATGTAATTACCATAGAGTTTTTCGTCTTTTTGTAAGTGTTATTGAAACGTTTGGCCTAGAATATGGTATATCAGCATGCCCTTCCAGGCTCTGAAAAAGGCGATACTGCCGAAACGTCAGCTAGCGTTGTATTGTATTGTGTTTCTCTATGGAAGTAAATGTATGCTGTTTGAAAACCTCGCGATCGCTGAACAAGAAGACGACACATTGATATTAACACCTGCTGAAGGGATAACAGTGACAATTCATTGGAGGATCTCTACTATTGAATCTCTTTCTTCAGGATAAACAACAAGGTGTAATAAGATTTTAAGCGCTTCCCATCTCTAGGATATATACAAAGGCAACAACTACTACTGTCTGCTGGTCTACATAGAAAACTTTTTTTTAGTAAAAATAGGTTTGGGTCTGCCGAGCTTGACCCCTCATCTGTTAAATTCGATTTGGTGAACTGTCATAAAACATGCAATTTCGAAGGAATTTTTTGCTCCAAAAAGATAATAACGTCCTAATTTAAGTAATACAAAACCCATCAATTACTTGCACAGCCTATAAAATTCTACTCACAACACTATAAGAATAAGGACAACACCAAATAAGGAACGAAGATTGCTACTACTTCTTCAATAACTTAAAATAACAGTCTGCTTTGGAACATGGTTATAACAAGCGTAACGTATGTTTTCCGAGCACTCTTTAGTTGAGCACTGATGATTAAAATTTACTTATTTTAAACAGTTACAATAACAAACCTACTCACAATATGGCCGAAGGGACTTCTTCAATAAAAACACACTTGCAGAAATTGTTTTTTGCACTATCTCCATAAATGTAAGCAATAATAGCGCCATCGTACGACGTAGGAGAACAAACTGGAGCCTATGAAAGGAAGAACATTGAAAAAATCTCTTTACAAAGTGCACTAAATGTAGCAGAAACTCGTGCGCAACGCATCAGCTAACTGCTCTCTGCAATACATAAGTGGTAGCCTGTCCGACCGAATGGCTCCCGCAAGTTGTCGTGTGGGCCAGATGTGCATTTAGTTATTTCCACGATTCTTAGCACGTAATAAACGGCTTGCACTGCGTACAATCATGATGGAATAGTCGCTATATCCTCTATACGGGTCATTCTTATTTTCGTGGTTTATATAATACATGCTCCGACAGACCTCTGCCAGGAAAATGTCTATTCTTACACTTCGTCCCAAGCGGTATAACTCTAAAAATTGCGCGGCCATTTGCATTAATGGAGTTGAACTGATGGCGCATGCATTAGTGCGCAATCAACGCCAAGGAATTTCGTCTTTATCTTTTACAGTGGAATAGCGCCAACAATTGAAAGAAACTACCTTCAGCTGAAGGCCGATTGCTGGTTTAGGGAAGTAGGAGTGGTATTTGAAAACAAAATCTCGGAATCTCCTGCATACAAACATTAGCTGATAAAATGCCTAAATATACTTCTCATATAAAAGCGACCGATTACGATCTACAGATAATCTTCAAGCATCTTTAAAAAAAACAATGTAAAGTCCACCTTGGATGCAAGTCTGCTACGGCCAGCAAAGAGATACCTTTTCAACGATGTGTGTGGCTCAAACGTTTGAGGATCAAAGACGTAACCGAATATTTTCAGAAGTATGTCGTCTGGCAAGCTCAAAATATTGGAGGTCTTAAAGTGATAGATGTAAGACCTGTATTTAACACCAGATGCCAAGACATATAGGAGAAAAAAAGTTTACAGACCCGAACCTTCACTAATCCTTCAACTGTTGTGTCACTTCGAGTTTCATCACAGCTCTTCATGTCCGTGTTCTCGCCTTTTTCGAAAAGCTCTGCGACTAACTGCGCTTGCTCAAAAGTGGCACGATGATTGTACACACGCATACGCCGGAACCTACTGGACCAACGACCTAGTGAAATTGTCTAATATAAATCATGGAACTCCTGAGGAAGCATGGGATAGAAGTAATCGAATTTAAGAACTTCTTTACTTTGTTCTAAGATCTTCACAAATAAGAGATTCCATACTCTGCTGATAGCAGAGCATGTTCTGCAAGAAAACTTTCCCACTAACGTTCGCTGATAGCGAAGCATGCCTTCCGAGAAAACTTTACCAACGTTACTGTGATCTGATAGAAACCTACATGCAGATATTACAACTCAAAATTCCATTAGTTTTAGAATAACTTCGTTATTTCTTAACAACAAAAGAGTTTTAGAACAGAACTTTCAAATGAAGGTGAATATTTAGCGAACTGTTAGAAATACCCTCTACCCAATCAGACAGTCCAAATGACATTATTTCCTTTTACTTTTCTGTTTTAAAAATCCCTGAATAGGAAAACCACATGAATGCAATTTTGGAACAGAGCTCTTCAGACATCCAGCCTACGAAATCAGCTGCTGCTTGAGGACTGTCGGCTTATTTATGAATGTCTTTGAATGGCAGTAGAGTCGACACTCACCGCACTCTTTACATAGCTGGAGCAGAGCGTCCTTAGTTGGATTACAAGATCTGAACCTTTCCCAGACATGTCTGTTATCCAATTTCTCGATCCCCGTAGGGTGAGAAGCTTACGAACCCAGTGCAGGGTCTAATAGGCACCACGGTCATGACGATCGGGAGCTCTACTACTGCGTTACCCGCACAATAAGCCAATGAATCCTTTCTCACATAGAAGCTTGTACAGCTTGTGCTCACAAGTTCACCGGAATCAACGCACATTCCATTAGTTTTTATGCCTCGCAACCGCACTCCATGGTGGTAGTTTGATTCGAGTATGGTGGCGTGTGCAAGTCTCATACCATGATGTGTTAGACAACTGCAGCTGAGAGTACAGCTATTTGGTTTTAGTTGCGAACACGTCCGCCCAACGTGTAGGTGATCATCCTGTCTTCTGTTCTTCTCATTACATGAGCTGCCCATCTATGCTTCCCTATCGGTGTGTTCCCCTTGTTCTTCAAAATTAGACAAATTTCGAAGACTAGAGATTCCCATTTCTGATGGCGGCTATATTTCACAAGACAGTGTTTAGGTGCTCTGTGGAAACATTGAGTGGGTAGTGCACCGTATTTTTGACGTGGTTGAAGTGTCAACCCACATCGCTGCTGCATTGTAGAGCGGTGGTAGCACGGTTGAATCGAAAAGGAGACTGTGGATTATCGGATACTTTAGCTTGACAGTGACTTCTTTGTGGGCTCCGAATGCCGCCCGTATTGGTCTCTATCCTCCAATTCCTTCTACATGTTCTTTTCCATATTCATTGAACGGCCAAGATAGACGTACAAGGTGGTTTCTCCAATAAGAGATCCATGTAATTTAATCCGTTCGCCTACGCACGTTGAGTTCTTCATGCACTGGATCTCCGTCTCATCTACAATCAGTCTAATTTTTTCCCCACTCCGTTGATTTTACTGAGCACAGTACCCCTTCAATGATACTCCCCATAAAGATTACGACGGTATCTCCAAACGAAGATTTGAGAGTACTTTTCCATCAAGAGGTATGCCCTTCTCTTCCTAATTGAGGGCTTCAGATCGAATTCCAGTGACGTCCTGCATAATCCGAGATTTTGTGGCCTCCAACCGATCGTCTCACCGACTTAAGTTATAAACGTAAGCAACCAGTGTGCAACGTATTGAGACTAGCCTCTTGATGGTTGTGAAACTTCGTTCTCCCAGGAGTCCTTAGTTAACCCTTCAAGGGTGTGTTCATGTCTTCGCTAAGATTTGGATTCCAGGGGAAACCTTTTCGGCAACGATTCCTTTGTTCCGTCTTCCCTTCAGTTGATCGGACACGATATTAAAACGGAACTCAAAAATGTAGGAATGAAAAAATAACCGATCGTTCCGTGATGGTGTGGAAGCTGAACAGTAAGCTGATGAATAAGACAAAATATTGACCTTTAATGTCGAGATTAAATAAAAGTCGGTTTCGAAAACCATGGCGAATTTTCACACAAGCTTTTACAGCAGACAGAGACTAATTTAAAAAAAAGCAGACAACTGAGTTAATAAAAAAACCCACCTGGATAATGAGCCTTATTGTGATGCTTAACATTCATCGCTTGATGAAGACAAGGCGCGAACGTCAACTTAAGAAAACACCTTTCGAGCAGCTAATAGAACTTAAAGGAACGAACTGAGACTAAGATAAACCTAGATCATAACTAGTAAGTCTCAAAAGATAGCTTGGTTTCCGCTGAAATGCAGAAGAAGCTACGAAATAAGAAAGAATTCGCTACGCACAAAACAGATAAAATGTCGTTCTGATGACATATTCCACTTATTTTAGTACCACTAACCACTTCTTAGTTCACATGCAGCTCAAATGACTCAATTTCAAACAACAAGGCTAAAGTGCAAAACTGCAAAACAGTATATATATATATATATATATATATATATATCTACATAATATATATACACTTATGTACGCACGTATACATAATATACATATGTGTGCAAACTTACATATGTAAGTAAACGTATATATTCCACACAAAAACTTCGTATGTTATTTAATGTACATAACAATAAGTACATAATTATAATGTTATTTACAAATATATACATAAAAATATCATTTGTTCGAATCATTATGTTGAGCTTTCAATTTTGACAACTCGTCTAGATCGCTATAGAGTTTCTCCTTCCGGATCTCGAGCAGTAAATCTTGCCTAGAATAAGCGAAGTTGAGTAGAACCACAAACATTTGGAAAATAGTTGAATTCGATCAATAACCAGAGGCGACAACATTTCCTATGACAAAGCGCTTTCTGGGCATGTTAAAGAATACAAATGAAAACTATAACCCAGAAAAGCTATCCATGATCAAGTAATCCAATTCTTCATTATAACAAATTCAAGCAATGCTGATAGGTTTCATTTCGAAACCGACTTTCCTTGAACCTCGGTATCACTAATCAATATGTATTCTTTCTTTGATGAGCTTACACGAGGTTGATAATGATGTTTATTTTCGGCTAATGTTTCGACGTCTTCGTCTTCCTCAGAGCCAGCTGTTGTTATCACCGGACATTATCATTATATTCACCATCAGCATCGTGTATAAAAGGGCATCACTGAGTAAGGATGCCTCATTCGAGGAGATGGCTCATCGAAGACCTGAGTCGACACGAAGGCGAAGCTGCCACGTCGAGACGAATAACAAGGGAGGACCATCGACCCGGATCATCGGCTCTGAGAAAGAAGAAGACGTCGAAACGTTAGCTAAACATCATTATCAACTTCGTGTAAGCTCATTAAAAAAAGAATACATGCTGATAGGTTTCTTCCATGACCTACTGCAAGCACAACTTAGTGGAAATAATGATTCCAAAACTGTCTTCTACAGATTCAACGACTAGAACACCAACACTGTTAGATCTCTACACAGCTATACCTCCAATGAAATGATTCAAAAACGCCGTTTCAATAAGTGTTACACGTTTTGGTCTTTTCCTATACTTCTTATAATCATTCGATAGCCTACCCAACTCAAACATTGTGAGAAGTATGGACTAGGGGAAACTTCAAAATCCACTTCCCAATATTTAAAAAACTGACTTCTGGATTGAAGTCTTTGCTCGCCTGATTCCTCAATTCACGATTTTTATATATCACTTACACTCATTAGAATCTATAACCTCTTTGTAGACTTCTCACATAAAATTCATATGTCGTACTATTACAGCCAAGCCCTACAATAGACCAAATGGAGCTGAGTTTTCATTCCTTCAAATTTGTACTTCGTTCATTACTTTTTATCCAAAATAGAATAAATCCTCAGAGAAGCTTAGAATTTCGCGGTTTAACAATTCCCATCAACCGGTGCATCCGTGAAACCCTTCATTTCTCGAATAGCTGTTGGTTGTCACGACATACCGTTTTCTTGTCCTCATCTGTCCATCCCTCTTACAAGAATTTCTCAAACATTAACCATAAACAAATTACAAAAAATATCGATCCTACGTATCAAATCTTTCAAATGCTTTAAAGTGAAACGTCTACCAACGAAAACTCAGTTGCCTCGGACAACACAAGTTCTGACCACTCAGGCCTACACCATCACCTTTGACCACAACCTCAATGTATCTTGGACATATTATCGACGGGCGGCGTAAGAGACCCCATCGGGTTAAAATCGATAAGAGAAAATGAAGCTTAATTCGGCTGCTGGCTACATGATTCTATCCTACAAAGTCTGTCCAGCTTTCACCAATTCCGAGGAGATGTGCCAAGCAGACTCAATTAAGCATGGTATACTATAAGCTTTTGAATGCATATTCGAAGAATGCAACGATTTTTGAGCTCTTAATGCTATATAAATTCAATGTTTTTCAACCCTCTAACCTAATCTGGTATAAAATTTGCTGATCCGAGAGAGTCAGGAGGTAGACCGAACCAATAACAAGTGTGCATTGCAAAGCATGTCCACGCATAACGCTGCATGAGCCCACTGTGGCTATGAAATTACTACTTAGCTTGTAAACGAGATGATGATATTGTGTTACTTTGTAGAACGGGCGAATATCTAAAAAACACATTCGAGAAGACAAATGTTTTTTACACACAGCCCGACGTAATATTTTGCGCGGATCCTGTCATTTCACACCTTTCATTTGTTACCTCACATCCGTCACCCATAAAAGTCGGAGTCCCATGTCATTCCCGCCGCTGCTTGAGAATTTCGGTGTCCTTTATGGATGTCGTGCAGTGCCAGCGGAGTCGATACTCCTTGGAAACTTCGGATAGCCATGCAAAGGCGTTCCTAGACCCTCACAGGCAGGTGCAATCTTTTGTGAACCGGAGGCTGCAACCCGAACTCGGAGGAGATTGGAATTAATAGTTCCCAGGATCGACTTTCTCTTAACCTCAGCATTGGAATATGAATGT